GAAGCTTAGTGGTAGAGTGCCCCTGGGTTCAATCCCCAGTTACCACGTGCAAAAGAGAGAGGGGTGGGGTTAAAGGAAAGAAAGACGGAAGACTAGATGTGTAAATGTTTCTAGGCAATGCTGGAAGCAAAGGCATATATTTCTAGGTGTAGGCATATTTTGAAGGATATACATCAATATCTCTAAATATAGTTTTAAAATTATACTCATCCAACATTTGGAAATCAATCTGTAATTAGTGGTGAAAAAAAAGTGCAATGAGTGTGTAGCCATAATAAATTATCTTACATACACATTGTTATTTATATTTGTGGTTTCACTTAATACTTTAACTCTGTGAAGTACCATTACAATCTCTAATTCACTGATGTGAAAATGGAGGCCAAGAGAGGTGTTCCAGTAGCAAGAGGCAGAACCCTGAGTTGTCCGTGGATATCTGTGTATATTTGTGCAGTCAGACAACAAACAGAGAGGAGGCAATGGGACAGATGGGTAAGTGGACATGACTGAACAGATGTGGGGATGGGTATGTGGACCTGCAAATAGATGAGGATGCACAAACCTTTCCTCACCCTTGTGACCTCTTGTCGGTGACTCAGAACTCAGGAGGTGGTTTTGTTTGAAGCCAAGTTCTGTCTAAGCAAACTCATTTGAGTTCACCAGTAGATAAAAGCCCCATTGCTTCTCCTATTCATCTTGTCACCTGGATTCCAGGAAAGCCAGTTCCAGCTCTGAGAATTAGTTCTAGCACTTGGCGTCAGTAGCAGATAGTGATGAATAACTTTGTATTTTTGTAAAATTGTCCTCATATCTTATTTTTAAAGTAAGACTGCTCTTGCTAAGGTCAGTAAAGCCCTTCTAGTTGTCCAATCCAATGGGCACTCTTCCAGGGTCACCTTCCTGGCTCTGTGATATCAACAGTGTTGACCACACTTTCCCGAGTCTCCTCTGCAGGACTCCCCTACACCACTACATTCTGACTTTCTTCTTGACTTGTGGACACCTCCCTCTCTCTCCTCTTGGCCATTCTTCGTCTACTGTATAGCAGAGTGGACTCTACTAGTGCCTACCCAACAGTTTTCTCCCCTTTCTTCTTTCTGATGGAATTCTGATTTTGGTCCAGCATCCTCTTTTTGATAGCAATGCATTTCCCAAGAGTCCAGCCCAGTGCTCTGAGATGAATCTTGGTTGGTTAAACCATTGGTTCTCAGAGTGTGGTCCAAGATCCACAACATTCTCCTCATTTGGAAACTTGTTAAAAATTCAAATTCTAGACCAGCCTAGGGGACATTATGTTAGGTAAAACAAGCCAGACGCAGAAAGACAAATAGCTCATGATCTTACTCAGGTGTGGAAGATAAAATTGTTGATCTCACAGAAGTAGAGAGTAGAATCGTGGTTACCAGAGGTTGGGAAGGGAGGGCAAGGGAGAATGGGGAGAGGTTGGTTAACAGGTGCAAAGTGGCAGTTAGGAGGGAAAAGTTCAGGTATTCTATTGCACAATAGGTGACTATAGTTAACAGTAATGTGGTGTATATTTCTTGTTTTTTTTTTGTGTGTGTGTGCTAGGGATTGAACCCAGGAGTGCTTAACCACTGAGCCAAATTCTCAGCCCTGCTTTTTTATGTTTTTATTTAAAGACAGGGTCTCACTAAATTGCTGAGGCTGGCTTTGAACTTGAAATTTTCCTATCTCAGCTTCCCGAGTTGCTGGGATTACAGGCATGTGCCACTGTGCCCAGTTGTGCTGTATATTTCTAAAGAGCTAGAAGAGAGGATTTTGAAGGTTCTTTGTAAGGATCTGAAAAGTGTTTCAGGTGACAGACATACTAATTATGTTGATTTGATTGTAACACAATGTATACATGTATCAAGAAAACACAAACATTATGCTCCATAAACACATGAAATCATTATGTATCAATTAAAAATAAAATAAAACTTGAAGAAAAAAGAAGAAATTCAAATTCTCAGGCCTCACTCCAGAGCTACTGAATTGGAAATTTTGGGGATGGAGCCCTGCAATAAATGGAATTTTATTTTGTTTTGTGGATTTGTTTTGCTTTGTATGGTGCTGGAGTTGAGCCAGCTAGGCAAGTACTCTACTACTGAACTACATACACCCCAGCCTGACCCGTGTCTCGATGAGCCTCTGAGTGACTCTGGAGCCTGTTCAGATTTGAGAATCTCTGATTTAAGCCAATCAGGATGAGTGACCTTCTTCCCTTTCCCTGTGATCAGGCATGGATATGTGGTAAATTTTTGCTAATGATAAATGAGAGAAAGTCTGCTTTATAAGAGGTTCTTGGGAAGGTTTCTCTGAATCTAAAGGAGATATCAAATGCCAGGTGCACACCTGTAGTCCCAGCTAATCAGTAGGTCAAGGCAGAAATATCATAAGTTCTGTTGTTTTAAGTCATCCAGTTTGTGGGACTTTGCTATGGAAGCCCTAGGAAACTAATACAGGGTCCTTGTGGTCTGTAAATCAACCCTAAAACCCCCCTACCTTGAGACCACTGGTGTATGTGAAATCAACTTCCTTCATCATTTAAGTTAGGTGGATAGAGTTTGTTTATTTTTTGTTTGTTTGTTTTATTTTTTAGCTTTCTATTTACAGTAGCTTCCTGGTAGATAACCCTTAGGTTTTCATATTCCTTAGGGTCTATCCTTGATTCTCTCCTCTTTGATTTTGGACGGGAGGGTAATCTCGTCTATTCTAAGCTTCAAAGACTACTCGGTGGGTCCTAACTGTGAAATGTTTATCCCAAATCTAGACTGAACTCCTGAATCACATATTCAGTGCCTGCCTAACAGCCCCCTGGAAGGTCCCCCTCAAACTCAGCATGTCCAGTTTTAATCCACTATCAACCCCTCCTTCAAGGTGTACTTTCTGTGGGTCCTGTTTTAGTGAATGTTACAATTCAGGAATCATGCCGTCTTTTCTCTCATGTCTAAAACATCTGCAAGTCCTATTAATTCTTCCTTTTCTATTATCTGCTGTATCTATCATCTCTTTACCATCTTTGTTTCCCCTAAAAGAATGTAAATCCTCATCATTTTCGCATGGGATATTGTAACACCTAACCCTAGCCTTGAACGGTTCTCCTCATTACTCACAATTTACGACGGAAGATCTCTTACAATTTGGTAAAATTCATTGGTGAAATCATCTAAGTCTAGTCTTCTTTGTAGTTTTTTTTTTTTTTTTGTAATTACTGATTCAATTTCTTTAATAGATAAAGGATCTTCCAAATTTTCAATTTCATTTTATGTTGATTTTGTAAGTTGTGTAGTACTAGAAATCTGGCCATTTCGTTGAAATTCTCATTATGTTTTTGAAGTAAAATTGTTATAACATCTTTGTGTTAGTTTTCTGGACTACTATAACAAGATTCCACAAACCCAGTGACTGAAAACAATAGAATCATTACCTCTCAGTTCTGGAGGCTGGAGGTCTGAAGTCAAGTGTCAACAGGGCCCAGCTCCCTCTGAAGCCTGGAGAGGGGAACCTGTCCTGGCTTCTCCCAGCTTCCGATAGCAGTGTCAGTCTTTGGCATTCCTTGGCTTATAGCTGCATCACTCCAGTCTCTGCCCCTTTGTCACACGGTGGTCCCCTGTCTTTGTCTCCTTCTCTTCTTATATTGGAACAGGGTGCTCAGTTACATCTGCAGAACCTATTTCTAAATAAGGTCACATTCTGAGATAATGGGGATTAGAACTTTATTCAATCTTTTTTCCTTCCATGCCAATCTTACTATTCTTTTATTACCTTTTATATTTTAATGTCTTCATGTTTTTAAAAAGCCAATAAAATCTTATGAGAAAAATAACACAATTGAAAGATTTATATCATTGGTTATCAAGGCTTATTACATAAATATAAGCAAGCACAGGCAAATATGCCAATAGAACAGAATTAAAAATCCAGAAATAAATTAAAAAACTATGTATAGGTATTTTGTTTATGACAAGGGTGGTACTGTATTTTGACGGTAAAAGGTGATCTTATTAACTCGCTGGGCATCCTCATGGGAAAAAGTCAATATTGACTCCTACTCCATATCAGTCACAAACATCAATTCTAGATGAATGGCTATAAATGTGAAAAGCAAAATAAACAGCTTTTAAAAGAAAATATAGAAGTCTATTTTGTAGCTGTACAGAAAAAGTATTAACTACACAATGGTATATAATGTTGATTGCATTCACATTTTCAGTAGTTCCTTTCCCTTGGATCTGGGGTTTGTGACTCCCCTCAGTGGAATGTGGGAGAAGTGACGTCATGCCAGTTCCCAGCTATAGGAGGCGCTGTTATCAGTGCTCAGTGGAGAGGGTTTAGGACCCTAGAGGCAACTCTTACCCACTTTCCTCTAGAGCTCTGTGATAGCTTTTCATAGCCTTGACCTAAATACCTGACAAGAACAACTTAGAGGAAAAGTTTATTTTGGCTCATGATTTCAGTGATCTCAGTACATTGTCAGCCAATTTCATCAGCTTGGCTTAACATGGAGTAGAACATTGTGGTGGAAGGGTGTCTAAGAGAAAAACTGCTCAGCTCATTACAGCCGGGAAGCAGGACAGAGAAGATAGCACTCGGGGACCCACCTTCTCCAGCCACGCTCCACTTGCCTACAGTTACCGCTCAGTAATCCCAAATCTTAATCCAGCAAATGGATTAATCCACTGATTAGGTTACAAATCTCATGATCTAATCATTTCACCACTGAACATTCCTGTATTAACACAGGAGCTTTGGAGGACACCTCATATCCAAACCAGAACATGATAAATGTTATGTTAAAATGTTACCAAAGTTCTTTATAGTAAATCCCATCAAACCCACATCTTTGTTTTAGGAGGGGCTGCCAAATGACATGTCCAACAAGTTTCTAGGTTATGCTGCTGGCTGAGAGCCATGGCCTTGGTCCTTGGGGTTATTACTCCCCCCTCCCCATCCAGCTCCTTTTCTGTTGGACCTGTGATCCTGTTCTGCCTGGGTGGCCTCGCTGAATTTCTACCACACCCTAAGCTTGCTTGTCCTGGAGGACAGGAGTCCTGAAGTTCCTCTTCAGATGGGCTGGCTAATACTGGTTGAATCTAAGACACCTGCCAGAAGTGACTCTCAGAGGACCCCATCCAGAACTGTCGGAAACTGGACCTTTAGAAGACAGAAATGAGGGTACGTGTTCCAGAATTGGCTGGTTGTAGTGCAGAAATTCCAGAGGAGAGACGAAAGGATTTAGAGGTCTGGGAAATGTGACCAGAAGTTTGGCAATGACTGATAAGGAATGGCCCGATGCGTGGACTTCCAGAGGTTCCTAACCTCTAACTTCATTATAATAAGACATGCGCATCTCTCTTTTGTTCGCCTGCCTCTCCTTAGCCCTTGTTTCTTTTATCCTACATCTATAACCTCCTAACTCCCAAAGGAGAGAAGTTGATTTGCCAAGAAAGTCTCCATTGCTCAGTCAGTGCTCCAACTTGCTGTTGGTTCTGCCACGGAAGAGGGTTCTAGGAGGTCTCAGAGAGGGGGACTTCAATCCAGTATGATAACTGGGTCCTTTTCCAGATGGAAACGAATTTTGGCGCACATTAGATATTGAGGCATAACTTTATTTAAGAAAACAAGGAGTCACATTCGGGGGAGAATGTGGGCTTTGTCGAGTGAGAAGCCATGCCTTGCTCTGGGATTTTAATATTTACAGAGGGTTAATAGCTAGGGGCTGAACTGGAGGTTGAGTCAGGGCGGGGTTATACAATTTCACAACAGTTTTTTTTTTCTAGCACTTACTATTTCCTGGGGGCAAGGAGCTGGGCTCCTGGATGCAGGTGCTTGTTTTGCATTTCAGTTGTTTATAGGTTTTTCCTGCATTCCAGTGTCTCTTCTAAGACTCTTTTTTTTTTCTATATATCCCCAAGTTCCTATTTCAGTTCCACAATTCTGAGAGAGAAAAGGAGCCAGCTTTTGGGGTCAAAAATTGGTAACATACTCACCTGGTAAAGCCACACCCCAGCTGAGTCTAGTTATCCTCATTCTCTGCTCCCACCTCTGAGTAGGTGAATGTCTTTGAGGAAATCGAGTGGAACGGACCGGGTTCACTACAAATTCACAGCCGCGAACCACGAAGCACATTCAGCATCCCCTGGCAAACCTACAGTTCTCTTTGAAGTTTGATTTCTTACTGTTTTAGTCAGCTTTTTTTGCTGCTGTGACTTAAAGACCTGACCAGAACAACTGTAGAGGAGGAAAAGTTTATTTGAGGGCTCACAGTTGTCAGAGGTCTTAATCCATAGGAGGCTGGCTCCATTCCTCATGGCTCAAGGTGAGGCTGAACATCATGGCAGAAGAGTGTGGCAGAGGGAAGCAGTTCACATGAGGCTCAGGAAGCAGAGAGACACTGCACTTGCTGAATACTAATAGATACCCCGAAGCCCCATCCCCAATTCCCACCTCCTCCAGCCCCACCCCACCACTCCAGTTACCACTCAGTTAATCCCTATCAGGGGTTTAATTCACCGATTGGGTTAAGACTCTTAGGACCCAACCATTTCTCCTCTGAACCTTCTGGCATTGTCTTACACACGAGCTTTTGGGGACACCTCACATCCAAACCATAACATTCTCCAAGTAATTATTTTATTATTTTTCTTCTTTTTCCTTTTTCAAACACACCCCACTTGATCCGCTCTGCTTCTTGGTTAATGAGCTCATCTTTCAATTCATTGAGAAAACAGGATCCATTGGAAAATACCCCTTTCCTCTTTCCACCACCAGATCCACAAGTGGACCAGAGGAGAAAGGGCGTCGGTCCTTCAAAAAGAAAACCCATCTCCAGGCTCCAGACCTGCCCTTCCATTTGTATCATCATGCCACCCTGAGCACTGGATCATTCTCATAAAAACAGATTCTAGTGTCTTAGTCACAAGGCTGATAGTGTCCTCTGTTACATAAAAAGCACCAAAAACAGCCAGGTGCAGTGACACACACCTGTAATCACAGCAGCTCAGGAGGCTGAGGCAGGAGGATAGTGAGTTCAAAAATCCAGCCTCAGCAACTTAGTGAGGCCCTGATCAATGCAGTGAGACCCTGTCTCTAAATATAATATAAAAACAGGCTGGGGATGTGGCTCAGTGGTTAAGCACCCCTGGGTTCAATCCCCATACATAAAAAGAAAAAAAAAAGCACCCCAAACAGGAACCTCCCTTGAAACTGCTCCAAGCGAAAACTTCTCAAAATATCTTTAAGTTTTGCTTTTCCCCCTTCTCACTTTCAATCCTTTCTGTAACTTAGTCTGGCCTAAATACTCATTACTCCATGAATCTGTCCTATAGTCTTATATAAATGACCAACACACACATGAAGCAATCAATATCAACAGTCTTCAGGGAAATGCAAATCAAAAAAAAATAATGAGTAACTGGGCTTGGTGTCCCTATAGTCCTAGCTACTCTACTGTAGGCCAGAGGATCCCTTGAGCCAGGAGTTCGAGACCAGCCTGGGCAACATAGCTGGCAAGATCCTGTCTCAAAACACCCAAAATGCACACACACAAAACATGACAACAAGATACCACTTCATAGCCTCCAGGCTGGCTAAAATAAAAGACAGACCATAGCTAGTGATAGCGAGGATGTGAAGAAATTGGAAACCTCATAGATTACTGTTGGGGATGTAAAAATTGTGCAGCCACTTTGGAAATTAGTGTGGGAATTTCTCAAATGATCTAGCAATTCTCTATAGAAATATACTCAAGAAAAATGGAAACAAATATCCAGGAAAAAAAACCTTGTAGACAAATGTTCATAGCAGAATTATTATTAATGGCCCCGAAGTGGAAGCAACCCAGATTTTCATCATCTGACACGTGGCTAAGTAAAATGTGGAAGATTCATAAAATGGAATATTATTCAGTCATAAAAAGGAATGTATGCATGCTCAACAGGGGTGAACTCTTGAATATTATACTCAGTGACAGAAAGATGCCAGATATAAAAGGTCACATATTGTATGAATCTCTTTATACGAAATCTGGGAGAATATGCTATATGGTAGCTGACAGCCTTATAGCCAGAGGAGAGGGACTGTTCCTCTGCTGATCTGCTGGCAGGTGGCCACTTGGCATATCTAACTGCCTGCAGCTTCTGCACACCTGGGCCAGGTGCCTCTTGGCTGCTGAGGCCTATGAGAAGGCAGGTATAGCAGATCTCCAGCTGAACAGTGTTGCTTTTCTGCAAAGGGATATCAGTCAATGACAACTCTGATTCATGAATCTAGGTGAAGACTCTATGACACCAGGGGTTTGGGGGGAGCACTTTGCAAGGATCTGAATGTTGGGACTCTGAGACAGTGAAGTCAGTATTTCACTATTAATGCCATAGCATCTATTCCCATGAACTGGTGAGGCTAAGGGACAATTAGATGATGTGATCACAGTAAAGTAACCATCAATCACTTAGTGAACTCCAAAGCCAAATGCAGGGGTTACCATATACTTTATTTCCTCATCTTTCAAAATTAATTGATTGCCAACTCCTGTTTAACTTTTAAATAATTTTCTAATCTATAGTTATTGTTTGGCTGTGGCCACTATTGTCATTCAAGTTACTATCTTTACCACCTTTGCATGATGGTTTATTTGTTATTCCACTTGACTGGGCCATGAGGGGCCCAGATATTTAGCCCAACATTATTCTGTGTGTGTCTTTGAGGGTGTTTGGGGTGAGGTTAGCATTTGAATCTGTAGACTGAGTGGATGACCCTCCATAGAACGAGTGGGCTTCATGCAACCAGTGAAGGTCTGACTAGAACAAAGCCTGACCCTTCCTCACAATAGAGGGAATTCCTCCTGGCTGCGTGCTACGAGTTGGGACAAACTGTTTTTTTTTGTGTTTTTTTTTTTTTTTTGCCTATTGAACTTGAACTGAAACCTCAGTTATACCCTGATCTCAAGACTGCCAGACTTCAGACTGAAACTTATACCAACAGTTCTCCTGCGTCTCAGGCCTTCAGACTTAGACTGGATCTACACCATCGGATCTCCCTACATCGGATCTCACTGTAGATCTTGGAACATCTCAGCCTCTGTAATTATGTGAGCCAATTCCCTATAATCTTTCTCTCTCTCTAAACACACACATGTTTATTGATTCTGTTTCTCTGGAGAACACTGACTAATACACTTGGCTTACTGCAGTAACCTCCTGAATGTTCTCCCTGCCTTACTAAGCCACCTTGACCTTCTGCATTGCTATCAGAGTGATCTTACCAAAACATAATCTGAATATGCCTTTTATACATCTAGCTTCCTTCCCATTACCCCTAGGATAAAATTAAAATTCTTCAGCATCTACATGAAATCCTTCACTAACCCTTCCCCTTCTTCTCTGTGTCTTCCCTTTTCCTACATCTTCACAGGGGCATAAACCCCGGCTTCATTGAACTACTAGCAGTTCTTCCAGAAGGCCTGGACACCTCTTCCCTCCAGGAGTCTGCACAAGTGATTCCTCCTGCCTGGAATGCCTGGATAGGAAAGCTCCCATACTTCGTCTTGATAGCCTGACTTAGAGCCTCCTGGGAACAAATCTTGTTCCAGTTCTATGCACAGAGTTCAGGAATGTGCACAACCTGGATGTGCTGAAATTCTGGATGAGGGGTTGATTATGCCTTAATATATTGTGCACCACCATGGCCAACAAGATGACCAGGCACTTGATGTCCCCAGGTAAGGGGTCCCTGGCAAGAATGCTGTGCAGTTCATATACTGCATGCTCTAGCCTTGTGTCTAGGTGTGGATATGTGTTTACTTGTGTAAGCAGCAGCAGAGTTATGGGAATCCAAATTCCATGACCCCTCATTTGCTCAAGTCCCTTTGAAGGACTTGGAAAAATGAATATTTGCTGAAATTTCCAGCTTTTTTAAAAAAATGTGTAATTTGCTCTGATTTGTTTTTTCATTTTACATAAATATTTACTTTGCACCTCATTGTGAATTGATAATGTTATTTTTCTTAAAGAGGATTCTACATATATCCTTGCTCAAGAAAGACAGACTTCCATAAAATCTGATACGGAATTCACTCAGAGGTCTTCATCCACGACAACAGGCCCCCGGCCCAGGGAATGTTGTTAGTGTCTCTGCTAACAACTTGGCATGGCTGGCTTCTTTCCTAGTCTGTAAATAAAGAAATCCTATTTGGTTTACTGGAGAGGGTTTGCATCTGGTCTTTCTCTCAATCCAAACTTAATCTGACCTTGTTACCAGATTCACCTACTCTTTTCACTCCTTTTAATCCCAGACGGGCCACTGTGAGTCAAGTATCAATATTTGAAAGACTGGTGTTGGTAATGTCACCATGAAGGGTCTTGAGGAGGTCTCTCTAGAGACAAAGGAGACATCTATTTGGAACTTCCAGGCACTTGACATGTCATAGAAAAGAATTTAAGGAGACATCAGATGTTAGCAAAGAGAAAAAACTTTATTAGAAAGCAAAATATGGGCTATCTTTATTAAGAAGCAACCCTTTCAGGTCTTGGGCTCCTCTTTTAAAGGAAATTTTGTGAGGGTGGGCATTGAAAGGTATGTGGGGGTGACACCAGTCTTGTGACAGCAAGATGACATATGGTGATCTGGCTGTTCACAGAGTCTTTGATGTTGTTTCCATTATCTGATCAATAGATAACATTTGGAATTACCCTATATTACAGGTTTCTTTAAAATATTGTATCTCCCTTTGCTTAATCTGTTTTAAAAATACACGTTAGTACATTGCACAGGGGGTCATAAGTGAATTTCCAGTAACTTTAAGATTCTGAGTGAATTTACAGTAATTTTAAGATTTGTAGATTTCTCAGAAATTTGGAAGTGACAAGCTTAGGGAGAGAAGGTCTGAGGCACTTTTGGCTTTCAGACTAAAGCCAGTCTCCTTTTTCTTCCTTTTACCTCCTTTCCACCTACCTTGCTTTCTTTTCTAGCCTATCTCAGTAAAATGGAATCAGGTCCCTACACTACCCAGTCCTGGGGATTGAACCCAGGTAGACTTTACCACTGAGCAACACCCTCAGTGCTTTTTATTTTTATATATTTATTTTTGAGACAGGGTTTCCTAAATTGCTGAAGCTGGCCTTGAACTTGAGATCTTCCTGTTTCAGCCACCCTAGAATCTGGGGATCACAGGCTTTGCCACCATAACTGGTAGAATCAAATTTATCGGACAGCTTAGAAGAAGAGAGAGGAAATAGTTCCTATGGGCAGCCTCTTCTCCAGAATATCACAGTGGCTTGGACCTTCTGAAGTTAGTTACTAAGGAAGCATATTACAAAGGCCACCTGGGTCCTAGGAATCTGAAGAAAGGTTTAGCAGATAACATCTAGGTGGGGCTTCTTTTGGGTCAAAGGATTAAGGAGGGCTAAAGGACATATTTGAGGGAGCAACTACACAGTTGTCACCTACTCCTTTCACTCCTTGAGGCTTCAGCTCAGGAGTCCCTGACTCCTGGAAGTCGGCCTGATGCCCTCAGTGCAGGCTGGGTGCCTGCACATAGTGGATGCTCCACAACTATAGGCTGAAATGAATGAATAATGAACGAATGAATGAAGCCAAACCATCAAATCAGTCCCCACTAATCCAGGAAAAACAAGTTCTTTTCACTGCTTCCGGTCAATCCTGAGTTTTATCTGAAACAATTCTCGTACCTCTAATTCTGGGTTGTTCCTCTTATAGGATCCTGTATCTCCCCCTCCTGATGCCTTTGGACAAAAGTGGCTCCTCTGGTTGGACTGATCCCTTCCAATTTCTAATCTTTATTTCCTTCTCACTCAAGATAGCCCACATTCTGCTTTCTAATAAAGCTCTTCCTCTTTGCTAAAATCTGATGTCTCTTTAAATTCTTTTCTGTGACATGTCAAGAGTCTGAAAGGTCCAAATAGATGTCTCCTTTGTCTCTAGAAAGACCCCCCTCAAGACCCCTCATGGTAAGAACCTTCACTTACCTGTCATTAAGTCCTTGCAGCACTATAGGGACATTTGCAGTCATCTTTGAGGGCCACCATAACAAAGCCTGGGTGGCTTAAATAACAGAGATTTATTTTCTTACAGTTCTAGAGGCTTAAGTCCAAGACCAAGGTGTTAGCAGGGTTGGTTTCTTTGGAGGCCTCTTTCTGTGGCTTGCAGATGGTGTCTTCTCCCTCTGTCCTCACCTGCTTCCTTCTGTGTCTGTGTCCTAATCTCTTCTTATAAGGACACTGGTCATAGTGAATAGGGCCTGATGCCCATCTGAACCCATTTTACCTTAATTATTTCTATTAAAGATACTGGAGGTTAGAGCTTCAACATATGAATTTGGGGGTCACAATTCAGCCTACACCAGTGATATTGTGCCCATTTTACACATGAACAAACTGAAGCCTAACGGGGTAAGTGCCTCTGGTCACTTAGTAGGAGGCTGAGGAAGTCAGTCTTCTGATTCCATAGCTTTCTGCTATGTCCCAGTCTCTAGGGTCATCCCTGATCTCTTTTAAAAGCCTCTGTCCCCACTGCCATCTTCCTGCCACTTCACTCCCTACAAAGTAACATACCCCTGCATGCCATATGAACACTGCTGATTGTGGCGGCACAATTGGGGGACATGGGATTGGGGGCTCCTTAGCCATCCCAGGCAGTAATGGAGAAGGGGAGCAGATAGGCTGCAGCAGAAAGGGAGAGAGGTCGAGGTTCACACTCTGGAGGATGAAGCCCCTGAGTTCCAATCCCATGTCATTCACTCTCTAACTACATGGTGTTGGCCATGTTAGTCAATCCCTCAGTTTTCCCATCTACAAAATGGACCTGAGAACAGTACTACCCAGGTCATTGGTCATTGAGATGCTTCAGCAAAGCAGTATGTGGACAGTGCCCAACACTTATATGCCCTGAAAAGTGACAGCTGTCATTGCTATCATTCTCTCTACGGAGAATTTCCTCAGTCCCATGTCCTCACCCAGGAGTTGGGTTAAATTGCTCTAAGACAGGAGTAGTCCTGGGTTCCTATAGGGAAAAGGCATGGGAAACAGGTCTGGAATATGCCCAGACTTCAGGGTACCTGCCTTCACCTCCAGGCATCCAGGTTCAAGGAGACACAAGCTCCTTGTGACTTCAGGCTGGCAGGGCCTCTGTGGCCACCCCCTGCCGCCAACAGCCCTTGTGAAGGTACTTTGCTAGAATGAGGCCCTGAAGAGCCCTGTGACAGCATGTGCTGCTGAGCTCTAGGATGCTGTCTGCTAGCTCTTCTATTTCAGGACTCACAAAGGTCAAAGTCAGTCCCTGCCTGCAGGAATGGCAAGATGCATGCAGAAGCAGCTCATTTCCCCAGCCTCCTGGGTCCCACTAACGGAGAGGCACGAACCTTGAACCCATCAAGCACAGAGGCTGACACAAACTCCATTGCTGAGTCCCCAAGGGGATGCTCTGTACAGAATCCCCAGGGAGCCCCAAACGGAGAGAAATACAACACCTCTCAGCTCTGTTCCTGGATGGAGCTTGCCTGACTCCCTCTTCCCCATCTCCACAACCAATGAGGTAGCTTGGTTAACTATTAAATACAGTAGCGATTTAAAACTACCCTGCGGTGGGGGCCCCCCCTGAGCAGGCTGCCGTTTCCTCCTTCCTCTGACGGGGCCAGGGCCGGCCCCTCACCCCACCCTGATGCTGGCACTGAAAAGTCTATCATAAAACACCCTGTGAAAGGAGCTCTAGCCGGCCGTGAACTGGGCTGGAGATGGCAGCCTTCATCCCTGGACCTTCCCATCTGGTGGTGGAGCCCAAAGTGTCCTGTTTCCCAAGGGTCTTGTCTTTACAGAAAGCCCAAACTCCTCTGTAAGACTTCCAAGGAGACAGTTTTCAGGGCATCGATGGGGATCTCTGCAGGTACTCTGCATAGGGGAGACAGCTGAGGTGCAGGGGAAGAATCACCAGATTTGGGATCAGAAACCTCCATTTCAGTCTATGGCCTTAGAAACCATGACCCCAAATTGGGCATGATGGTACTTACTTGTAATCCCAGAGACTTGGGAGGCTGAGGCAGGAGGATTGAAAGTTCAAGACCAGCCTCAGCAACTTAGCAAGAACCTTAGCAACCTAGTGAGACCCTGTCTCAAAATAAAAAAATTAAAAAGGGCTTGGGATGTGGCTCAGTGGTAAAACACCCCTGGGTTCAATCCCCAGTATGAAGAGAAGAAGAAGAAGAAGGGAGAAGGTGAGAGAGCAAGAGAGAGACACGGAGATAGTTAACCCACTTGTAAAAACCCTCAGGGCCACGGAGTTAGAACCAGGTAGAAAGAAAGGTTCCTCACCCAGGTCAATGCTTCCAACCATGATGGGACCCAACCCAACCTGCCATACCTCCCCCCACCCCCACCCGGCCCGGCCCACCTTGCCTGCCCTTGTGTTGAAGCACCATGGTTGCTTATCTGCACCCCTACAAATGTTTATTAGGCACCTATGGTATGCACAATGCCCACAGTAGTAAAACACATTCTCTGCCCTCTAAGGTATTGCCATCTGGTAAACTGGGGAGAAAAGTGTGTCCCAGTGCCTAAGACCATTCTTATCGTTCCTGCCTGACTGGATCATCTTAGACATATGTGAGAATGAGAAAGAGAACAAACGGGAAAGAGGAGTGGGTGGCCACATGCACACTGATGGGCTGCAGAGGCCCACACCTCCTGGAAGCTTGTGTGACACGTCTGCTTATTTTATGTGTCAGCACCTGGCTTGGCCCAGGCTATAGGGAACAACCCCACCCCACCCACAATGGGAAGCAAGAGCCCTGGGACCCCAAGCCAGGGGTCTTCATCCTTCTGCCTCTGGTCAGTACTGTCCTCAAGTAACCCCAAGTCTGTCCTCCTTGCCATTGTTCTCTAGAACCATCCCAATCTGAGTGGTTCCAACTATTTAAAGTGATCAGAAAATAGTTACTATTTTACGATCCTCATGCTAGGCATTGTGCTATTCAGTTCAGCACATCGACAATCTATTTAA